GATTTGAGCCATGGAAGTAGAAGTCACACTACAAGATAAAATTATTTTAGAAGTATTTTTTTTCCAAACTGCTGTTTGTTAAAGTTGTAACCACAAATGTATAAATTAAATGTCAAGCAGTTACACATTTTCAGTGGATGCCTTAGAGTGTCTAAATTATTATATACTGTTCTGAAAGTCTTTTTACAAAGTGAGGCTCTTGCTAACATATCTATGGTGTAACCTAAATAAAATGGAGAACACTGATAGAACATTATACAGAAAAATATGCAGAAGCCTTTAATTCTTCTTATGGCTGAAGACTGATATGATGATAAGACCATGAGAAAGTTACTAAAGGCAGCTGTTGGCCTTTTCGATTTGGGACAGTCCAAAATTTTCTATGCTGGTATATTAGTTAATAACATTTGGTAGTTGCCATAGATATTTCTGGGGTTTTTAAGTCGACTTCATACAGAAAGATTTTTGCAGTTGTTCTAATTTTCATTACACACACAGCTGAGTGAGTCAGAAGTAGCTTCTTGCTTCTGCAGCATCTTTGAAGACCAATCACGTTTGTGCATGTCCTCTGTGCAGTAGTTGAAGGTTTTTTGAAGGTTCCTCTTGCCAGCAATGTACTGCCTGTAGGGGTGGCTGAGCAGCTCTGGAAGCCTGTCAGGAGCCAGTGGTGGGTTCCAGTAGCCTGTCGGAGACCGTGTGATTAAGGAGGTGAAACCTTCTTCAGAAGAGTTTAAGAATTCACTAGATCCCATTACATTACAGCTTCCAAAGGATTCGACCACCATTTTCAATTCAGATTTTGTCTACTGAAACAGATTTACTTCTCCCAGTCTAGAAAACCTCCCTTGGCAATTTCCTGTGCTCACTGGGTTTTGGAGTCTTGTATACATGTCTGTAGTCACTCAATTACTTGAGGCCCCATAATGAATACAAGACTGACTGGCTGTCAAATTTCCTGTCTCCGCATGAAATCTCTATCTGGTAGTTTGAATACTATTTGCAGACATTCTGGTTTAGTCCTGGAAATCAAGGTTATAGTCGTCATAATTGTAGCATCCTTTAGAAAAATATGTTGAATGTTTCTTGTGTCAAACAACCTGGGTTTGTGTGTCCCATCCCCAGCCTGCCTACCTCCTGATTTGTAGCATTGCTGTGTTCATACTTTTTATGTTTTTATCTGTCATAAAATTATCAGAAGTCTTCAGACTTTTCAAATGTGAAGAGAAGCAATTTGTAATCAATAAAGTGCCAGAATATTCAGTAACTTGTAAAATACCCTTTCAGAAATAAATATTGTGGAGTTTATTGAGGTTTATGTGGGAAGTCTGAGGTAGAACCAAGACTTCACATATTCTGTCTCCAACTGCACTGTGCTTGCCGTAAGTACAAATTTGAATCAGCTTTTCTACCTCATCTTTTCTCGAAAAATGAACTTGACTGCAATAAAGTGTATGCATGACTGATGGAGTTACTTCAAAAGCAATAGGGGATGCTAGAAAGAAGTTACTAAAGCTGAAATTACATGGAAGGCCGTTCATCTTGGTGCTCTCCAGCTGCCTCCCACCTGCTTGCTTTCTCTGCCCGGCCTCTGCCCGTGGTTACCAGTTTTGTATTGGCAATGTGAGGGATTGGGAACAAAATTTATCCCCTCATCCTTTGCTAAGGGGCCTCTCTTACATGTGGAATATGCAGAAAAATGGTTCCCTTGGAGAGCTGTAATTCTAGAATACTGCAGTTTTGGAAGGTGCTTCTGCCCTACTCCTGGCCTTGTGTAACCAGGGCGTGTGTCACCCTGGTGAGTTATGTCACTGTAATGACATTGGTGGTGAAGGTGACCAGAACTGTCACCTTCACTGCTCACTGACAGAGCTTGATTACCCCGCAGTGTGTGGGAGCTGTTGGAAGACAGCAGAATAGTTTTGTGCTTTTCACAGGCTAGGCTTATTCCCCTCCTCGAATACCTGCCGTTCAACCAGAACGCCTCCAAATAGAGATGTCTTTCGTTATGCCGATAGACACAGGCAGAAACAATGAAAACGGAGCAATTTAAAATTTCATTTTAATCCATTATTTACGCTTTTATTTGAATAGTTAAGAGCCGGAGCAAGGGGCGGCGTGTGGGGAGCGCGGCCGGCAGGGGTCAGGCGGGAGCCGTGAGGGGCCGCGAGGGCCGCGCGGGCGCCGCAGTTTCCACACGGCGGCTGCCAGCAGAACCCGATACGGTGCGATCTATAGAAGCAAGGTACAACTGGAATAATGAAATTTCAAAAATAAGCCCTTTTTAAAGGCTGCTTGTAACAGTCCTGCTGGGTATTGTAAATGCCTCAGGTGCACTTGATACTGCTGTTACGTTCCTGGCCCTGGCTCCTAATTTTTATGGAAAGATGGATTGAACTTCAATTTAGGAATATTCGGTAATCCCTCTCAGGACATACTGTAACAGCTGGTATTTCTGTGTTGCAGCAAATCGATTCCATACAGCAGTCAGCAATGCCTATGGCTGGGCTCCGACAAAAACTTCCAAAGCATTTTCAATAAAGTGAGCCAAAGAAAATAGCATCATCACTGCAAAAATGTAGCTTAATTTGCACGTTAGGAAAAAAAAAAAAAACCACCCCATCCCATTCCAACAAAATATTAAGCATTTTACTGGTAAGGATTTCATCAGGTCATTTATTTTTCATTAATATATATTTAGGATCTGGGGGGAATAACTTTATGCTGTATATAAGTTTCTTAAATAATGAGCAGCTTGATTTTTTTTGTACTGAATGATTTACTGTGAAATAAAGAAAAATAAAGAAATGGATGGAGTTGAAATACGTCGCATATATGTAGATCAACAAGATTTTCTGCGTTTTGCCGTGAACTCTTTTTAAGGAACCTGAATTTCTGGTTAATAGCAATGTGCTTATAACGAGAATGCCTTGCTTGGTTTGTTTTATATTTTTTTTCTGTTTTTTCCCCCATCTTTTTAACAGATGAAAGTAGTTTAGGGTGCATGTAAATCAGAGATGTTTCATTACTAATCAATAATTTTGTTTTAACCAGTTTCTTAAACGTGTTAAAGTAAAAATGCCTCCATCCTTCATACGGCTGCCGTGGTGTGCTCACGCTGGGGACTGTCGCTGAGTTTGGGACAGGACTCCTCCTTTATGTGTTAAACAGAAAACAAGCAGAATTAATGTAAAGTGAATATGTTCCTTCTTAATTGGTACAATGTGTCCTTGGCTATGATGTCTTTTTTTTTTTTTTTCCTTTTTTAAGCTGCACCCTGGCTAGCTTTGCATATAGATGTTTTACAGTTCTTGTCATCATAAGATGAGCTTTCACTCTGGAATACCTAATTTCCTTATCCGTGCTTTAAGTTAATGGACTTCTGTGCTGATTTGATGAACGTCAAAATATTTTTTTAAGCTGATTTTTTTTACTGAAGACTTCTTTTCTTCATAAACTTTTATAACAAAGAAAAAATAAAAAATCCTAAGCCCCTAATCAGTCTTAATAGATAAGCTCTTAGGTTTTTATTTGGTTCTTTTCATCATAGAAGTTGTCCAGGGAGGTAAATTCTTCTGTATTTGCCTTCTTAATCAAACCACCCAGATTCACTGGGTAAATGCCTAGGGGACATAAAAAAACTCCGTACTTAAAAAAAGCTGCCAGACTATTTAAACTATAGACTTATGCCTGGGGACAATTTAACAACTAATTTATATCTAATAATAGCTTTAAAACTTATTAAACAAAATCTTGTGGATGGCCTTTAGTATGCTGCAATATTTTTAGCCATGTGGAGATTTTTTCAGTGAAAAACAAAATTTTGAACAGCATACACTGTTTACAGCACCTGTATATCAGTCTTCCACAAGACTGTTGCCAAGTTAAAATGGGTCCAAAATATGCACTTTAAGAGCCAACATGACTTCAAAAGTCATTCTGATTAATATGAATGTGTTTTAAAAAAACAGCAAAAAACAAACCAGCAATAGCAGTGGCAAAACTCTCTTCTATTTGTTTATTTTCTTTTGCTAAAGCAGAACTATGCTGCTTTCTTCCTTCAAAGATCCTTTTTGTTTACTGAAATCTGGGAAAAAATCCTTATTTTTTGATAGCTTCTATTTCTCCTCTCTCTTCCTTCTCCCTCCAAACACATCAGTCCCTGCCCCGCTCTGAGTAGACATTTGCTATCTTAACCTGGAATTTCTTTTCCTAGGTTTGTGTTCCAGTTTCATATTTTAACATACTTGATACAAATCCGTTCACTTATATTTGAAATTAATTTTAATTTTTGGTACGCGAACTTTATTTTTTCTCAGAAAGTGGTTAAAAGAAAGACAGAAAAATATACTATCAGTAGACCTGTACAATTATTACAAAATATGTGTTAGAAAAACACTGACTTTGTCATAATGAATCACAGAAAAATTCCTTACATGGTAATGGCTCCATCAACTCCACGAATCAAACTGCTGTTTACCTTAGAAAAGTGTATGCTCCAGTCCTACTTTTTACAACTTCAGTTAAAATTTAGATTATATTTCCGGATTACAAATAAAAATCTTGAATGACCTGAAAACAATTAAAAGGAGGTTAAATAGAAACACTGAATAAATTACTGTGCTAGTAAGAAATTTTGTTTTCCTGAGAAAAGTAGTAGCAAAATTTGAATGACTCAATTATTCACAGTTTTAATAAAATACCTCTAGACATTATTTCCAAAATGCCTGACGTGCTGGAATTAAAGAGTATAATTTACACTAGAGAAATATGTTAAATTATCCTTAATGCAGAATAGGGTTATAGGCTAGACTGAAGAGAACAAAATTTGTTTCACCTGGAGGAAGCAAAAATCTGAACAGTCATAAATAAATGCCTAGCACTTGGTTTTGAGAATCTTAAATAAAAGCTAATTTCATGATAATTATTGGATTTGGTTAGCTGCAGTAATATAAAGTTTAACAATGTTCTTAATTGTAGAATTCTATTTCTGTTCTTTCTAGGAGAAGCTGGGAGATAACATAAATCTTTGTAGACAACTTGGCTGCAAGCAGTTAAACTGAAATAAACTTCTGCCTTCTGGCTGCAGTGCTGCTCTGAGGTTTCTGCGTGACGCTCTGCAGACTAAATCATGCCAGCGTTATCAACTGGATCTGGAAGTGACACAGGTACACAGGCCAAGGAGGGGCCGTGTTTCCTCCACATCTTATTTGTTAAGTCTATGTTTCAAGTAAGATAATTAATTATAGTCTCACCAGATTTTTAATTTAAGACTTAAAACATAACCTTTTCTCCCTGAAGTTAATTTAGATACATGAAACACTGCAGATAAAATATATTAATTTCGAAAAGTCCTACCACCACCTTCTTCTCTTCTATCCCCAACCTCCTAAAAAGAACAGCTCCAAACATATATTATAGATGGATCTGAAGAATTTGGATTCACCTCTGAGCACGGTTCCTACAATGTTAACTTGAAAAAGGAGGAGGAGGGAAAGAGGAAAAAAAGATGATGATATCATGCATGCCTTAATATTTGCAGCAGTCTAGACTATCCCCTCTGTGAGTTACAGTTATCAGTGGAGTTATTTCTGAACACAGACTGTTCAGTTTTGACAACTCTATAACAAATTAGGAGAAGAAAAATACTGTCTCAAGTTCTGTTCCTTCACTTGCCTTCCACATCAGAGCCCAGTTCCTGTCACTGACTGCTGGCAGTGGGATTGCAGATAGCTGCATAGCTTTCCATAGTTTTCACCTTCTTTGTGGCAATATTTGGTTATATTCAAAGGTTAAATTTCATCATCTTGTTATACTGACATTCTCCCTCTCTGACAACATTTTTATCCCTTTGTTAGGGATAACTTTTAGTATTTTTGCTTGAGAGTGTTTGTTAAAAAAGGGTGATCCAGCTGACGTTACAATATAATACAAAGATCGTGCTTTCCACCCCTGTGCCACATAGTTTTATGCACAAGAAGTAACAGCAGGATTTGGAAAGTTAGGAGGGAGATTTCAAGTCAGGAATCCAAAAATACGTGCTTAAGTATATATATATAAGGAACGGCATTCGATTCTTATTTTTAGTATACTGTACAGGGCAGTGATTTTGTTTTCCCCACACATAAAATTTATCCTAGATGACAATATTAATCTTTACAATTAGGGTGTGCATGTGTTTATTTGTTACCATGGGGAAGGAGAGTTGTTTGGTTTTATATGCTTTTTGTCTCCCTATTCCTGTGTTTAAGGGATTTGACTATGACTTTGCCAAACCCTATCTCTGCATACACTTCTTTTCTCTCCCTCTCCTCATATAAATAAGTGAGTTGAAGTTATTCAGTATGCTAAAGCTGAATTTTGGAAGATGTGTCAGGGTCTACTCTGGGCTAATTTCCTACGCTACACCTTTGCTTTCTTTATCATGCACCCTTTTGTGTCCTTTCAAGACCTGCCTTAATTTTTAGAAAATTATTACTTGTTTGTTTTTAAAGGTAGTTAATTTGCCCAAAAGTAATAGTCGTGGACATACTTTCTGAATAAAGAAAGGGAAGACCTTCAAAAAGTAGATGATAATACTAATTTTGAAATATTGTATGTTAGAATGCCTTTAAGTATGTTTTAATATGCTATTTAATTAATATGATGATGCAAACATGCCTTTAATAATGAAGATCTGTGTTCAAACTCAAGTGTCTCCATTGTCCCGTGAAATTTATAGTAAAACATGATACGTGCCATTAATATCTGTCTGTTAAATAATAGTGCTTGTTAGGTCGTTTTTTTTTCTGCTTCAAGTTATAAGTGGTTTCTCTAAATAAAGATTTGCATTTGGAGTGAAAAGAGAATTGGTTTTTTTCTTCCACTTTCTTGACAATACTTCCTGATGGGGCTGATATGCACTGAGATATTTTTGGGATTGTTACATCAAACTGTGCTTTTTACCCTGGCTATGATACTGGTGGTTTCTAACTGGAGTCCTGTTTTTCTGCTATTATTCTCACTCGTAGATTAAAAAACAGTGATGTGCATAAATTTTTTCCTACCTCTGTTCTTCCTCTCATCCTGCCTGCACAGACTGGTATTGTGACATGTGACGAGTTGAAACTGCTCGGTCTGGGGCACTGAGGACTTGGCAAATCACTCGGTGGGGCCTTTAGGATAGGGACATAATCCTGTTCAGTCTGTTTGCTAAAACTCTCTTTTGTAAATACAATCAGTCAAAATGCACCCTAACCTATTTTTGAGTCTGTTAGATACTGGGAGAAATAAAAGTAAACCTGGATTTAAAAGCAAATGAAAGAATTCCGTGAGGACTTGTAAGTAGAAATGCATCATCTGTGAATATTGAAAGTTGCCATGTCACAGACTGCTGGACATTCACTTACCAGTATGGGAGCATTATTCATTTACATTTTTTTTTTTAATACAGTCTGAAGTATCAGATCACTGACAAAAGTAGGATAGTGTTCATGATGGGCTGTATTTGATGAGACTAAATGTTTACCTGACTGTGTTAATTTTATCTTGCTTTTACTTTATCAACAGCTTTTATTAGAAGTGGCACCAGGTACTTGCAGCTGCTTTCTTCATATAGCTGCTTTTGTCCTTCCATGTTTTAACCTGTATCTTCTTCTGAACACAAGCCATGCTTCTTCAAATCTATTTTGAGGGGCATTTACCAGGCTTTAAGCTATGATAAAACAAAATCATGGCTACATTATTTTCAATATTTTTTAAAAAATACTTGTTATAATTTATTCAGATTGATACAGTGACTTTCAATTTAATCTTATACCTTACCAGATTGATCTGGCTTCACTAATCTAAAGACAGAGGACAAAGTGTTACATGCAGATGCTTCTTTCTCTTTCACTCTCCATTAGCCATATAGAAAATCTATTTTTATATAATAACAATTGAAAAGCTGCTCATTGTGTATAACATCTGTGTGACCCTTAAGGTTTATGGTCCTGTCAGTGTCAAGTCAAAGTTATCTTAAAGCAACCAGCATGAATGGAAGGCTGAGCTTTTGCCTCAGGCTGGGTCAGAAGCTTTCAGCAGTTCCTGTGTTACTGAAGTCTGCTTGCCCTCTGTGTGCAAGCCATCAAACAGATTTTTTTGAAGACTGAGCAAGAAGACTTGCATTTTTGCAGGTAAAGCAAATCTGGGAGATCTGACATTCACTTATCTGGTATATTTAGGAAGGCATAAAATTGCAGTTCTGGCTTCACAGTAGTAGATGGCAGCTTTGTCGCTGACTTTGGTGGAGCCAAGATGACATCATTATGCTTTAAGTGTTGTTCTAATGTGAAAAACATCGTAAACTTGTTGCAGATTTCTTTCCTCCCAACGCTGTATAAAGCTTGCTCAACTGACAAGCTTAAAAACGCTTTTCTGTTCTCAAAAGCCAGTGTATGATGAATGTGCAAAGCAGACTTCATGTTTTTGTTTCATGTGTTGGCAGCAGGAAAATCACATTTATGGGCCAAATTTGGGCACCAAGTAAAAATGTGTGAGATTGCTTATATACAGTGAAAGGCAGAAGCAGTTCTTGGATTTGAATATTGTAAATTAGAGAAAATGTGCAAGGGCTTATGTTTGTTTCTCCTTGAGAGCATAAAGGAGCAAGCATCCTGCCAGATAGTTTTTTCAGTGTTACAAGACTGCAAAACTGAATACATGTTCGGTTTTTAATAAAAAGAACCTCCACATTTGTTACTAACCAAATTTTAAGTTCACATGGCCTTCAGAATATTCCGGGTTTTTGTATTTTCATCTCTGTTTTGTAATAACACCAAATCGATACATGAAATCTGTTCTCAATGTTAGGTATTTTTCCAAAATGCATTTATAGTAGTGTATTCTGTGTTTCTTTTGAATTAATCTTGACCTCTGAAGCTGCATTCTGTTGATGTGGATATGCTGATTGCTGGCAAAAATATTTTGCTAGGAGAGTTCATATGGATTGACTTCCCAGTGGTCAAAGACCAGTGCAAGCAATGGGAAGTTCAAAGAAAATTTTGCAGTCAACTGAATAAAAAAAGAAGCTGGTTTATTTTTACTGTTTTCATATAGATGTCTTCTCTTTATTTACTGCTATAGTAATGCATTTTGATCAGCTTGTCAGTTTCAACATGATGTTTTCTAAGAGGATTTGATCGTAAAAAGGATTCAAAGACGGAGGAAAAAAAGTAATAATATGAAGAAAAAGCTGAGTAGTTGACTAAGTTGAAAGGGGGGCATCAGAAACATCTATAGTGGAAGAAGGACAAATAATTCTGAAGTGCTAAAATTTCAATTTTAGCCTTTTAACCCAGTTTTAATTATTTGGAGGGAGATAGAAATCAGAGAGTTCTATTTTTACAGCCTATTTAAAGAACGCAGCAACATAAAATGGTGGCCAAAGATCTGGCTACCTCATTGTTACAAGATGAAGAGAAAGGAAATTTAGGAGAGCAATGAAGGAAAGTTTTTGGGAGTTGTTCTTCCGTTGGAGGCTGCCAGGGCAAAGGCTTGCAGGGTCATCGGTTCCTGCTCCAAACTGCCTTTGCTTCCCCACTGATGTCCTGTGGTGGAAACAGAGCAGAGGGAAAGCCTTCACTCGCCTGCTTTACACTCTGGGCTACAACTTTAGATATAGGTGAGCTGTAGCAAGTGTGGTGTGTAAATGCTTTGGCTGCATCACAATTTCAAAGCTACTTTAATTCCTCAGCACGTTGAAATGCATAGGTATGGCCAGATATTCATGAAAATGGATATGACAGCTGAGGCAAAATTTATACTGAATTAATAAATAGAGCCAATATTTTATCCTTGCATTCTTGATTTCTCCCATCTCCATCTGCCAGAGGCATTAAATAGCTTTAAGGATAACATTAATTTGGAGGATTTAGGAAAGTATGAGATGTATGGCTAACTTTAATTGCAATCTGGTTTAATTTTTAAAAATACAATTTTCTGGTGTTGGAAAGGCTATTTATTTTGGTATCAACATATTTATGGTGACTTTGAAAATTCATTCGAAGTGAAATGAAATTTCTCTAAACTGTTCTGTTTTGTGTTAATGTTTTATATTATGCTAGACTGATTCAGTAGTGTGGAATCAGAAAATGTGTGTTAGTATATTTAATGATGGTAAACTCTTTAAAACTGTTACAGTTTTTGG